ATGGGGAGCAGCTGTAAATACAGATGAAGCTTCTCTTGCTCACCTGCCACTAACCTTCTACTGTGCACCCCCCCCACTTCCTAAGCTTCATGGAAGACAATTCTTCCACAGATGGGAGTGGAGGTTCGGTGGGTGGGTGGCAGAGTTCTGTGGCCCGCTCTCTAACAGGCCTCAGACCACCACCACGGGTTGGAGGTTGGGGACTGTAGCTATATAGTATCATCATTTTTGTAGAATGTCTCTTTTAAACATTAATGTTCAAAAGAGGCAGTATGCATACTAGCATGAACTCTGGAGCTAGAAGTCCTAGGTTTTGAATCCTTGCTTTGCCACTTACTATAAACTATGTGACCTTGAACAAGTTACTTCTCTGAGCCTCAGTCTGCTCATCTATAAAATGGGCATAATAATAGTATTAACTTGTAGGGCTACTATGAGCAATAAATAAGTTAATAGATGTAACAGTACACAGAACAGTTCCTGGGGCATAAGTGTTTGCTATTATTACTATGGAATGATATTTGGGAAGATAATATCTTCATATAACAAATACAGTACTTAAATTAGATAATTATAAAATATGCTTTGAAAAACAAATATATTAGAACATACAGCCTACTATTAATCTTTTAAAATTTATGCTTAAAGTAAGCCATATGATAGCAAGCATTCTATCAAACCACATTTCCTCTTCTATAAAATCATAGCATAAATTTAAAATGTATTAGGAATATTATTTTCATGAAATCAGCAATAATCTTTATTAAAATTTTGTGTGTCAAATACAAATTTTTCATATGGTATTTCCAATCCTAACAACAATATTACAAGGTAGGTGGTATTATACTTCTTTTATGGATGAGGAAATTGATCCATATAGAAGTTAAAGTACCATGCCCAGATACTTTTACCTCGTTGTATACAGTCAGATTCTGAAGCCAGTACTTTAACCCTTTAGTCCTTAATCCCTGGGCTGCGAACCAGTACCGGTCAGTGGCCTGTTAGGGACCAGACTGGGCTGCAGACCTCCACGGTCCCCGGCCCCCCAACCCCTGGAAAAATTGTCTTCCATCAAATTTAGGAAAGGGGGCGGCACACAGCAGGTGAGTGGCGGGCTAGCAGGGGAAGTTTATCTGTATTTAGAGCCCCTTCCCATCCTTGTATCACCTATCCTCGCATCACTGCATGAGCTCCACCTCCCCACCCCCTACTCCCCAACCCCACTATCCGTGGAAAAACTGTCTTCCATGAAACCAGTCCCTGGTGCCAAAAAGGTTGGGGACCACTGCTGCATCCACCATGATGCTTGTACTGGATGTTTATTAAAAATAGTATTTTATATGTATCAGTACAAAGATTTACGGTTGCCTAATATATATTAGTAGAAAGACAACCATTGTTTCTAAGCTTTACCCCTTCTGTGATTAGTCTCCATTGCTTTTCTCCATGCATCCAAGGGTTTACAACTGGCAGGGCAGATTATCAAAGCTTTTGTGCTCTTAGATTGGTCTATATCCTCTTTCTAGGGAACTATGACCACACTTTGATTTTAATATAATGCACTTTGGGGTTTTCTCTGTCACCTATGAGACATGCGGGTATGTACGTAGAATATCCAGAATGGGTTGAGCTCTGGAGAATACCTGGAATAAGAAAAACGCTAAAGAAATACTGGCTGATATGGGGAATACAATCTAACTGTACAGTGGAGGGTTCAGACTATCATTACCCTAATCTGGAGTTAATCTTTTCATCACTAACAGTAGGACAACCAGATGTGTCTTCCGATGTGATAAAATATAATGTAGATATAATGTAGAATGAATTCTGGCCATTATTATTTAACTTGTATCCATTAAGCCAAAGCTTCAAGAGTCAATTTCTAGCTTCCAGGAGATAGCTAAATGCAGCTAAGTGATACCATAAGGAAACAAACAGACTAATCCACAAGGTGGAATATATTTCTGGACAACTTTTCCATCAAGTTAGGATCATGAAAAAAAAACTGTTTTGAAATAAAAGAGACTTCATGGAAATAACCACATGTAATGAGTGATCCTGGGTTGGATCCAGGTTCATTAAACGGCAGTTTAGAATACTGGGAAAATTTAAATATGGATTATATATTAAATAATATGAATTATTATTCATATTATTCATAATATTAACTTTAAGTGATAATGTCGCTTTGCCTGTTATTTTTAAAAGATGAACAATCAAGTAAAAAAATATAAAAATTGTAAAAGAAATACATAAAAAAAAAAGAAATAATGAAAGAGAAAACTCTAGGCTGGAGATATAGGTTTGGCAGTCGATAGCATGCATGGTAATCAGAACCATAAGAATAAATGAGAGATGCTATCACCTAGGAAAGTATATAAGGCAAGACAGAGAGATGTGAACTAGATAGATAATCAGCATTTCAAAGACTATATACAGGAGTAAGAACCATGAAATTGAAAAAGAACAACTGGAGAAAAAGGGGGACCATGAGATGAATGGTATTCAGAAGCCAACGGGAGAGTTTCAAGATGGATAAAGCAATTAATGATGTCAAATCCTGAGCTCAAGCTGGGCAAAGACGAAAAAGAGGCTAGCAAATAATACATAGAAGGTCAGTGATGACTTGATTCAGAGGAGTTTCAGTAGAGTTACTGGAGCAGAAGTCAGAGGAATGAACTGCTGTTGAACAAGTGGAGACATCACTCCTCTTTCAAAGAAAGAAGCTGGAATTTCTCAGAAAGATGAGAACCTGTACAAATAATGTACACTATTCAGATAATTAAATTCCTAGTGATTAATGCTAACATGCAGTAACAGATAAGTGAAAGAATGTAAGGGATAGATGGTGATGGCAGAGTTGTAAAATAAAGATTCCTTTTTACATTCCTCATGTAATGCCCACATAAAATAAATATCTGCTATTGTATTTATAATTTAGTCTTTAAATTCAGTATAACTCTAGTTTGTTTTTTTCTATTTGTCTCCTAAAGAAAGGTGATATTGCAATCACATATATACATGCAATCATATATATAAATCCACTGCATGAAATTCATTGGTTCTCTTAAAAATTGGATGTAAAATATATTTTTGGAAAACAAATAATTAAGTAAACTAGGAAAAGTGCCTCTTTAAAGGAGTGATAGGACCCTTAGGTTGTAATCTGCCATCAGGTCGTGTCTTTATAAATAATATTAATAATAAATTACTTTTTTGATTTTATAACATATAACCCTTGATTTCTGCTCTAATCCTATGATATATGCAGGATTCACATTATTAGCCCCATCTGACCCCAGACCATTCTGTCTGCTACCAAGGGCACTGTGCTTGGAAACATGAGCGATTTTCCCTCTGGAGGGATACTATGCGTCCCTAAGAGTTCTGGAATAGCTAATACACAGCCCTGAAGCTATTTAGTTTTCTTAATACATTCAGGAATCTTGGTTTTTCCACATTCTTAAGCTCAGCCCAAATGTCTTAATGGTCTTTAAAAAAAAAAACTTTAAAAAAATCAGTGGCATATTTATAAAATAACTTTGAAGAAAAAAATGTACTCTCACCCTAATACTAAGAAATATTATATTAATTTTTTGTAATAATAGTTACCCAATATTGTATCTAATTTATAAAAAGTTCAGACTTTCAAATACTGGAGTTTTCTTAAATTAAGTCAGGCCTACATTATACTATATAAATAGTAAGTATTAAACACTCTCAATGCACCAAGTATTATGCTGGGTACTTAAGAATTATTGCATTTAATAGTTTCAGTGGCAAAACCTGTGATGTAAACACTATTATCATTCTCATTTTACATATGAGGAAACAGATTAAATCCTGATATATCCAGACTAGTACAGATTTAAAAAGCAAGCTATCTCACAATATGCTGAATTTTAATCACATTCCAAAACAATGATACTCAAAATTGAAGCTAAAAATGTGGTTTGTGGGCCATAGCATAGTAAATTTATAGAAAAATGGAGATGTATGGAAAAATAAAAATAAACACTAGTTTCACAACAACGTGAATATACTTAACACTACTGAACTATACAATTAAAAATGGTTAAGATGGCAAATTTTATGTTATGTGTTTTTTACCACAATAAATAAATAACCAATACCAATGTTAGCTCTGTTAGAAAAATATTAAAAAGGTTCTTTACTATAATATTTCTCACAATAGGCATTTCTTGCTTACGCACAATAAAATGTTTAATAGTATCCCTTCCATTATTAAGGCATGGTGATTATTTTTCTATAGCTCATGAACTAAAATCTATAGGTGTTTTATAGAAATAATCTATTGTAAGTGTCCTATTATATTGCAAATATGACACTTAATTGCACTTCACCACTGAAACATAAATTTTCCAAATTCTCTATAATGAAGATGTAATTTTCATAATCAGAAAATGATTAAAAAATTAAGACTGACATTAAATACAGTAACTATGGCAATTAAAAAAGATTTGAAGCCTGGATTTTACATCTGAGAATTCATTCAACGTGTATCAGCTTACTTGTTCCACCTCTGTATTTCATGTTCTCTGTTAGGAAAAAGGCCAGTCTATGAATGTACAAATTGTTCTTTTTGTAAGTAGAGGCAGTTCAAGAGAGCCTACTATAGTATTTAGCTACCTTATATCCAAAGAACCCTGGGAAAGAAAAGTGGAATGGTCTGGGGCCCTACAAAGCTTAAGAGAAACTAGTAGAAATGCATTAGACACACACTGTTGCAAAGATCCTTTCCAACACCCTCTGACAGCTCAGAACACCTACTGATACCTCAAAAAATGCTACTGTTGAATCTAGTCTTCATTAGGAGAGACATTCTAATAATTTACATAATCCAAAATAAATCTAACATTATATAAAGCCATATGTAGACTACACATATAAATGACTATACTGAGATTGCATTCAAGAGGTTTAAATACACTATAAAAACAAAAACTTTTGTTAACTATGTTTGAAAACAGTCTTCTCACCTGCGTGGCCTAGTCCTTGGGGACATCATCTCATTCCCAAGTATGTGGTACCGTCTTGCTTCATGCAATAACTGATAACACTCAGGAGAATTCTGGATCAATTGGTCCACTTCAACTGTTTGAACAAAGTAGTTGGGATGCAACAGAGGGAGTCTCACATGGGTCAGGAGCTCATGTAACAGTGGTCTTCTTAGATCAACAGCACGATAAACCCAACGCATGACGGCTTCAAAAACCATCTCCTCTTTACCAATTACGAGTTCATCGCTACAAATATAATCAATAAGTTCATCTTTGCCAAGCTCAAGAAATTCTTCATGCTGGGATACATCCTCAAAAGTCTGTAATGCAAAATTTTTGCATTTTGTGAAGAGTGTTTTGAGTGAGTGGGTATCAGCAAAGCGCTGGATTCCTAAGCAATTACAAGGATCAAGTTGCTCCTCCAAGAACTTGGCACATGCATCACGGAGAACACTAATCTGAAAGAGGCTTGATGTTTCAAAGAGATATTGTACATTTTCTGTAGTGATCTTCACCTTTCCAGTATAAACATACTGCAAAAAACATTCCATAGCTTCAGCTAAAATACCATTGATCTCAACCAACATTTCTCGGCTTTCCCTGTGATCATTACAAAACATAGCTCTGAAGTAGCTACTACAGGCTGAGAGAACAGCTCTGTGGCAAGGAAATTCTTTTCCTTCCACACAAATGATAACATCTGTGAACAAGCGGCTATCTCGGAATTCATTAAATATCTGGAGTATGTTTTCAGCATGGGATGATCCTGAAGAGAAGTCAAAAAACTCATGACCTGTCAGAGATTTAGGGTCCATTTCAAAAACTTTACGCTTAGTGGCTGGGGAATCACGCACCCCAAGATCCTCTCTGTTTAGTCTGCGTCCCAATATTAGTACCATTGTTACATCAGTTGACTATATAATTGTTGAGAAATGACTGTTGGGGATCTTCTTTATGTGGCTAAAA